AGAAATAATTCAAAAATTGGTACAGAATTACAGAAGATCATGTATTTAAGGAAAGCATCACAAGCATGGGATTTTTACACAAAAAGACCAAGTAAACAGCCAGTAGGGTAAAGGAGGTTCAATCGAAAAAAATCAGTGACAAATCATTAGCCTTATTAAAGGGATTTCAGAGTCAATCACTTGGTTGGTGAAAACCTTTTGAAAGAGGAGTTTTCTCATATATAAAGCACACAGCTCAAACAAAGAAAGAGTCTAACATTGAAAGTTTCAGAGTCACAAGCAAAAGAGATTCAAGTTCAAATACAGGCTCATAGTAAGTCTGAAAGCCTAGGGTTCCAAAGTGGAACCCTGATACAATTTACCCAAAGAAAACCCCCAAATCTTAGGGTTTCAAATTGAGTCAGACAAAGAGGTGAGAAAACAAGGTCATTGAAAGAGGCTCAGAAATCTTTTTTCAAAGACTCACGAGAGACAAGTATATACAAACAAGTTCAGAAGAAAGAGAGGATACGAATTTTTAAACAACAGTAGAGAAGAAAAAAAAAGAATATGCTCAGTAGGAACACGAACAGAACTTAGTAAAGCGAGCAAGATCAAAGAACTCAACCATAAACATGTACAGCAAAGAGTAAGGAAAAACAACACAAATTAATGTGTGAGCATGAGAGGGACAACAAAGAACAGAAAAGTCTTGCATAACAGAAAAGAAACAAGAGAGCAAACTCGAGCATAGTAAGAAGCAAACATACGAGCATAAAACACACATAAAGAAGGAACAGGAAGAATCAAAATTTGAAGAAATCCCTTTTTTCAGAAACCCTAAAATTGAAATTGAACAATTTTAAAGAGGAAATTTGCGGAAAACCTTTAAAACGTCAAGTAAAGACCAGGCATGGCACAGATCTAAGAAAATAAGTAAGTATAGAACCTCAGATGGCCTAGAGTTGCAGAGAAAACCCTAGAATGAGAAAGGTCTTGAGGAAAGTCGGATCCTGAGTCGAAGAGACTCATATTGCTCGAACACGCCGGGAAAATGGCCGGAGAGGCCATAGATCTACGGATCTGAGGCAGATCTAAAGAGAGCCATTGAAGTCGGGCCTCCAAACTTCGAGTGGCTTAGATTTAATGATGAGAGAGAGAGAGTACAGGCCACCCCTGGCCAGGAATGCCATGGATTCCGGTGGGACTGTGGTAGAAACAGGTAGGAGATGATTAGGGTTTCGGAGAGGCTACAGAGAATTTGGGAGACGAAGAGAGTTCAAAGGCGGCGTCTTTGATAGAATGAACTAGGGCAAGGGGGTATTGGGAATTAAAAATGGAAAGGAAGAATCACGGTCGTTGATCAAAATGATCAACGGCCAGGGTTAAAGGGGAAGCCGGGTGGGTCTGAAAACGGGTCGTGCGTTGGGTTAAAATTGAAATTGGGTTATTTTGATTTGGGCGAAATTGGGGGGTCAAATTGAGGCTACAATTGAAATAGAAATGGGCTATGTGTTAAATAGACAATTTCCCCCCTTTTTATTTTACAAAAATAGTTAAAATGATTATAAAAATAAATTAAAAGCACTGAACTAATTAATAATATATAAATATTGATCTAAAAATACTGGAAGTGATTTTATAATTGTAAAATGATGTTAATCGTAAAATAGGCTATAATTGCAATTATATGCAATTTAGCTTTGAAAATACCAAATAAATTTATAAAAATATGCCAAAATTACCTTAATTATATTTTGGTGTAAATAAAAGAATAGAAATAAATTATTCACCAAAGTGATAATTTTGGGAACAATTATTGAATTTCTTACTACCAAAATAGACAATAATTGATTTTAAAAATTTTTAAAAAAAATTAGAAAAAAATACCAAAACTCTTGGGCATGCTTATATATGCATACACATGCTATTTTTAAAGTATTTTGAGTGTAAAATACATAGGAAAATATTGGGTATCAACACATGCTTTACTTGTAATTCCATGCCTAATTGCTACTTATTATACATTATATCTCTTGTTGGAAGTGTTAGTTCTTTCGTAGCTTCGTTGTCCCCTATTATTGTTTGAGCCGGTTATTGGTACTTTCAAGGCATATTATGGATTGGTCTCGCTGAGTAGTATTACTTGTGTAAAGTCTCGTAGTGTATAATCTTTCTAAATGCTTTGGTTTGAAGTTGAGCCTTGTGAAGAGTTATGTGATTTGAATTGTGTAATTTCTGTACTTATTGAGTAAATGATATTGATATTGTGGGATCAGGTTGCGCGCCACAACAGGTGTAATAAGGGTGGATTGTGGTGAGATAAGGGTGAACTGTGATTGTGATTATTGTGATACGGTGGGATCGGATTGCACGCCGCAACAGGTATAATAAGGGTGGATTGTGGTGGGATAAGGATGAATTACGATTATGATTATTGTGATATGGTGGGATCGGGTTGCACACCGCAACAATCTTTATGTTTATATTTTCCCTTGACTGTGTTAGCTGAACGGTAGTCTTAAACTGTACTTTCTTCTTTTATTATGCACATTGTAAATACCCCACCGTAGCCTCGTCACTACTTCGTCGAGGTTAGGCTCAGCACTTACCAGTACATGGGGTCGGTTGTACTGATACTGCACTCTGCACTTTCTGTGCGGATTTTGGAGCAGGTAGTGGTTGATCGAGAGGTTGGTTGCAACTTTTACAACTAGGAGACCCAAGGTAGTCCTGTTGGCGTCCGCAGGCCCTGGCGTCCCCTCCTATGCTCCTACATTTACTGTTTTACTTCCCTACATAAACAGTTGTATCTTCTTTCGAACAAATGTTTGTAATAAATCTTAGTGTGTTCGTGGAAAGTGACACCGAATTCTGGATAGTAATAGTAATAGTAATAGCATTGGTAATAATAAACAAAGAGGCTATTTACTTACTTCCGCATTTATTTTTACTAGTTTTAGCTTGTTTATTGTTAATCCCTGAAACGTAAAGGATTTGGCTAAGTCAAAACTCTAATGTTGGCTTGCCTAGGAAGTGTGATGTTAGGCGCCATCACAGTCCCGATGGTGGGGATTCCGGGTCGTGACAGGTATGTCTTAGACAACAACAATAACAACATATCCAGTACGATCCCACAGGTGAGGTATGGGAAGAAGATTATGTTCGCAGACCTTATCCCTAACATGTGAAGTTAGAGAGACTATTTTCGAAAGGTATATTTAAGACACACTCGAAAAATGTTTGGTGTATAAAAGATTTCTTATATTGGCCATGTGTGTTAAAAGGAATTGACCTCAAGCTCAAGGGAAAAACTATGTATTTTGATTATATCATATACAAATTCAACTACAAAAAGGCATTAATATTCCTACATAAAAACTCGTTTTTCCGTAGATTGTAATATTTATATCTCAAAAGAATTCCAAAATAGCACTTAACTATAGTGTATCACAACTCTTATGATAGCACCAAATATAAACATTCAGCCAATTACGAATTCAAAAGGGAACGAGAAAATGGAACTCAAAATGACTTATGTTTGTCTTAAAAGTGCATATATAATTGCAGTTTACGATTGCATGTGTAAGGTCTATAATTAATAACTTTATTGAATAGACCTGTGGTGTTTCTCCGTATATGCGCACGCGTTGTGCGTATATATCACGGGCAAAGGATTTGAGAAGGATGTTGTTATGGTGAAAGAAATTGTTATGCCATAAGAAAATGAACGCAACTATATTAGGATGAATGAATCAATTGAACAATATACATTCTCTCCCTTTTATCCTAATCTCTCTTTTTTTGCCTTTAATATTTTCGATCCTCCGATCCATCTATAAAATACCTTTTATATTAATAATATTTAATTTTTTAGTCTAGGTATTTAACTATAGTTTAAATAATTTATATCGTATTATAAATTTTTTATTTGAGTATCAGTAACATTATGAGTCAAATAATCTCTTTATGAACAACTAGCAGTATTTTTCTATTTTTTTTAAATGTTAATATGTAAATTTTTTATTTGAGTATCAGTAATATTTGATCATCATTATTAATGATATAATTTTTAAATAATAGCTTAAAATTCATTTACAAAATTAATAAATAGATAATTTTTAAGGAATTTGTTGTAAAAACCTTACCTCTATATTTGCAAAAATCCGGGTAGATGGGAAAACTAATGAGTTATCTAAATCATCGGTGGAGTGAGGATTTGTATTCTATGCGTTCTAAATTCTAAGATAACTACATTAGATGTTAGAAATTGAATTCTGAATTTAATTTTTGTACATATGTAATGAATTATTTAATACAAATATAAAATTTAAACTAAAGCTACCGATTCGGCTGAACTGGTAAGTAAACCTCTAGCTCCACACCCGTGATGCAAACTGTTATTGATTTGTTTGGAATATTTCAAGCAGCTAAGGCAAGGCACAAAGACTGGCCTTTTGGAATTTGGACTAATTAATATGATAGTCAATTAATTAATGAATCCTCTGTTGCTGGAAATAATCTCTTCACTGACAGTACAATAAATAAGGAAGATGATGGAGGAGAAGAGACTTAGATTCTATTGATTGTGTTTGGGTTTATGTCTGAGAGAGACGACCAAAATGTTAAAATCTTGGTTTCATTGAATGGACACATGGCGCGCACTCAATGCCTCAGATCTACGGTCAAGATAAAGCCAACGTCCCTCTTCTAGAAGGAGTTTAGAATAGTGTGGATACCTGTAAATAAAATTCTTTGTATTTATGTTTACTAGTCAGTTACTTCTTTGTATTTATCTTTACTAGTAAGCTACACAGTTTGTTAGGATAGAAAGGATCCTAGAGTAATACACGTCAGACACATGACAGTGTATATATAGAGAACACTGTACAAAGTTATTGACACAGAAAAATGGAAAAATAATTTTCCACAGCCTTTTTCTTCTTGAATATATTCATGGTATCAGAGCACTGGTAAAAACCAGTTCCTTTTTTTTTTCCTCGTTTTTTTTTTGAATAGCCATGGGAGAGACTGATGTTGATCCCAAAACCCCCATAGTAGTTGGGACTTCACATATCTTTTCATCTCCTTCTCAGCAAGTTGATCCTTGCCATCCCTATTTTTTGACATCTTCGGATAATCCAGGTGTTAACCTGATCAACATCAATTTTGATGGAACCAGCTATGCAAACTGGCGGAGGGGAGTACTGATTTCATTGACAGCCAAAAATAAATTGGGATTTATCAATGGATCTTTCCCATGTCCATCTTCTGATTCTCCTTTGATTGATCAGTGGCAGAGGTGCAATGACATGGTCATTTCTTGGCTGCTTAATTCCCTTAGCAGAGATATTGCAGAAAGTGTAATCTATTCACAGACAGCTGAAGAACTTTGGAATGAATTGGAGGAGAGGTATGGTCAAGCAGATGGTACCAAGTTGTTCCAACTGCAAAGAGAACTTAACAATATCAGTCAAGGAACAAGTGACATGGCAGGATATTTCACAAAGCTCAAAAGGATATGGGACCAAATGAAGGTACTCAACACTTTTATGATATGCAACTGGAATTGTAAGTGTGGAGCAAAGACACACAATGTTAAGATAAATGAGGATCAAAAACTGATTCAACTCCTTATGGGACTTAATGATGCTTATTCTGGTGTGAGAGCAAATATCTTGATGATGAAGCCACTACCCTCTACTGCACAGGCATATTCTATATTGCTACATCAGGAATCACAAAGAGAGGTACACTCTAATTCTAGTTCTATAAATGATTCTACTGCTTTTATGACTTCTGGACAAAAGTGGAATGCACAAAGGACTACAAGTCAACTAATCTCAGCCATAATGCTGGAATTAAGAAGAATGATTTGTACTGCAAATACTGTAAAAAAACCTGGGCATGTTAAAGAGGAATTTTACAAATTGGTGGGATATCCACAGCATTTTAAGGTAAACAAGCAGAGAAGAGGAACTCTTGGGAATCAACAAGCTAACATGGCAATACCTGGAAGGAATTTAAGCTCAGGAATGGCAGGAGAAAGTGTTTCTACTTTGGTTGGAGCACAAGGATTCACCAAGGAGCAGTGTGACCAATTGATCCAAATGTTTCAATCTCTGCAAGGAACCCCTACAGCTTCCTCTGAATCTATTGGAGCCGCAAATCTAGCTGGTATGCAACATGCTTTGCTTTCCCTTACCTCACTTCTTTCAAACTTAACCAAAAATCCTTGGATTCTAGATAGTGGTGCGACATAGCATCTGACTTTTGAAAGACACTTGTTGCATGATCTAAGGGTATTTCCCACACCACTTCTAGTCAATTTGGCCAATTCTTGTAAAGTAAAAGCCTATGCTATAGGCTCTTTCTCCAGGGATGAAACTCTCCAATGTGTTACATGTGCCTGATTTCAATCATAATCTTTTGTCAGTAAGTCAGTTTGTCAGTGATATGAATTATGATTTGTTGTTTACTAAGGCCGGATGCATTTTGCAGGCCCCTTTAATGAGGAAGGAGCCTCTCTTTGGTGAAACCACAGCTGGTCTCTATGTGCTCAAGGATGACACTTCTACATTAGGAATATACTCAATTAAATCACCTATTTCAGCTTCATTTTCTTCTAGTAGTAGGCGTAGACTGCCAGGGTCTTTGTCTTCTGATTCAGAGTCTGTTTGTGAAAGGACAGAGTGTCATGTCCTCTTGAGTCCCGTTTATCCTGCAAATTTAAATGAAAACATCAATATGAATGTTTCTGTTTCAAATGATGTCATGAATGTGACTGATTCAAACAAATTGTGGCATTTTTGTTTGGGACACTTACCATATGATGCTATGAAACATATTAAAGCAATACAGGTTACTTCTACAAATAACAACAAATTCCCTTGTGAAGTGTGTCCTATGGCAAGACAGTCTAAACCACCATTTACCAAAAGCACAATTAGATCCAAGAATTATTTTGACTTGATACATATAGACACATGGGGACCATACAACACACCAACATATAAAGGAGAGAAGTACTTTCTAACTGTGGTTGATGATTTCTCTAGAAGTACATAACTTTCTTGCTATCCACCAAATCTAATGCATTTCCTACTTTGTAAGCTTTCCTAACCCTTGTTGAAAGACAGTTTTCCACCAAAGTAAAAATGATCAGATCAGATAATGCATTTGAACTAGGGACAGGACATATTCAAACAGAGTACTACAATTCTCAAGGAATTATCCATCAGATTAGTTGTGTAGCAACCCCACAACAAAATGGGGTAGTTGAAACAAAGCATAGACATTTGTTGGAAACTTGCAGGGCAATGATGTTTCAGTCACATGTTCCTAAAAAATACTGGGGGGAGTGTTTACTTACAGCTACCCATTTGATTAACAGATTTCCTTCTCAAGTTCTTCAACTTAAATTTTCCTACCATGTTCTATTTGGGACATATCCAGATTACTCCTTCCTTAAGCCATTTGATTGTCTGTGCTTCAGTTCTACTCTTTCCAGAGATAGAGACAAGTTGAGTCCTAGAGCCTTTCCTGGTGTTTTTCTAGGGTATCCATTTGGAAAAAAAGGATACAAGATTCTGAATTTACAAACAAGTCAGGTGATCATTTCTAGAGATGTCAAGTTTGTTGAGACTATCTTTCCCTTTTCCTATTCAGCTCCGCTGTCTAAACTTTTTCCAGCATGCTTTCCATCTCCTATTGAGTCTGTTTTTTCAACCTCTAATGAGCTTGTACCTTCTTCTCCCTATACTGCAGTTTCTCCTAACAATTCTACATCTCAGTAAGGTCACCTATTTTTCACTCACCTTCTCCCTCTATTTCTCCTATTTTGAATAATCCTACATCTGTTTCTAGTGAAGAAGTGTTGCCTTCAGAACCTGAGCATCAACTGAGGAGATCACAAAGGGATCATAATTCACCTAAGTATCTATCAGATTACATATGTGACGCTACTTTTACTGTTATTTCACCTAATCCACCTTGTCTTACTTTTTATCATTCATCCTTTTCTGCAATAACACCACAAAACCAGACACTTATTACTTCTATTTGTCAAATTATTGAGCCAACATTTTACCAACAAGCTGTGATGCATCCTGGGTGGAAAGTTGCCATGGATAAAGAGTTTGAGGCATTGAATTCCAACAAAACATGGGACATAGTTCAGCTTCCAAAAGGCAAGAAACCTTTAGCTTGCAAGTGGGTTTACAAAGTAAAACTGAAGTCAGATGGATCTTTGGAAAGACTGAAAGCACGGTTGGTAGTCAGAGGGGATACACAACGTGAGGGTATTGACTATACAGAGACTTTTTCTCCTGTTGTAAAAATGACGACTATACGATGCATCTTAGCATTGGCAGTAAAGAATGGAAGATTTACCAACTTGATGTTAACAACGCATTCTCGCATGGTGACTTGCAGGAAGAAGTCTATATGAGGTTTCCTCCAGGTCTTATCCCTCTTTCTCCCTGTCATGTGTGTCGACTTCGGAAATCCTTATATGGCTTAAAGCAGGCCTCACGTCAATGGTATACTCGTTTGTCCTCCGTGCTCGCAACTAGGGGATTCACTTCCTCGCTAAATGATTACTCTTTGTTCTTCAAAAAGACTTGGGATTTGATTATACTCCTTGCAGTGTACGTTGATGACATTCTCATTACTGGTAACAATACACAAGAAGTTAGTGAAATCAAGCAATTTTTGGATGCCGAATTCAAAATTAAGGATTTAGGAGAGGCTCACTATTTTTTGGGTATGGAATTAATACGGGAAGGAGGAGGACTGGTTGTAACCCAACGAAAATTTGCCCTTGAGTTGCTTGAAGAATTCAATGCATAGGTTGTCGGTCAGTCTCCACGCCTCTTGAACCTACTTTTAAACTCAATTCCACAAAGGGTGCACCTTTGTCGGATCCCATGGTTTACCGACGATTACTTGGAAAGCTCAATTTTTTGACCAATTCGAGACCTGATCTTTCTTATGCCGTTCAGACTTTGAGTCAATACATGCAATCTCCACACACTGGCCATTTTCAAGCAGCTTTACGTACTCTCAAATACATCAGTGGAGATCCTGGCCTTGGTTTGTTCATGTCTCCGGGGTCTTCCTTACAGATCTTGGCCTTTTGCGACTCCGATTGGGCATCTTGCGTTGATACTCGCAGATCGGTGAGCGGATCTTTTCTCAGTTTGGGTGGCTGCCCCATTTCTTGGAAGTCGAAAAAACAACCGGTTGTTGCCCTCTCTTCTACGGAAGCGGAATACCGTTCTATGAGACGAGTGGTGGCGGAAATTACATGGCTAGTGCGTCTTCTTCATGATATTGGTACTTCTCCTATTTTACCAGTTCCTCTCCATTGCGACAATCAATCGGCGATTCATATTGCAAAGAAACCAATTTTTCACGACAGACCAAGCACATCGACTTGATTGTCACTTTGTTCGTGAAAAACTGCTTGAAGACTTAATTTCTATGTCCTTTGTTCCATCTTCGTCTCAACTCACCGATTTGTTCACGAAGGCTCTTGTAGGTCCATTACATCGGTCTCTTCTTTACAAGTTGGGAGTCCGAGCTCCTGCCTCCCACTTGAGGGGGGGTGTTGCTGGAAATAATCTTTTCACTGACAGTACAATAAATAAGGAAGATGATGGGGAGAAGAGACTTAGATTCTATTGATTGTGTTTGGGTTATGTCTGAGAGAGACAACCAAAATGTTAAAATCTTGGTCTCATTGAATGGACACATGGCGCGCACTCAATGCCTCAGATCTACGGTCAAGATAAAGCCAACGTCCCTCTTCTAGAAGGAGTTTAGAATAGTGTGGATACCTGTAAATAAAATTCTTTGTATTTATGTTTACTAGTCAGTTACTTCTTTGTATTTATCTTTACTAGTAAGCTACACAGTTTGTTAGGATAGAAAGGATCCTAGAGTAATACACGTCAGACACATGACAGTGTATATATAGAGAACACAGTACAAAGTTATTGACATAGAAAAATGGAAAATAATTTTCCACAGCCTTTTTCTTCTTGAATATTTTCATCCTCACTAATCACTATCTCTGTTTTTGCTTATTTCACGGAAAGAGGGGACCTTGATGGGTAATTTATGCAAATAATAATGAGCTAAAGAATTCTTGATTGCTGACATTTGATAATAATCGTGATTTTGGATAGTCGAAATACATTAAATCAATGGTAACATAATTAGTGGTGTCGTAATTTTGTATTTACATGTGTAATTATCTACTTAAGTATGCCAAATTGGTAAACTTTCTTCTACAGTAATGCAACCGGAAGGGCTGCTTTTTCCGTAGGATTCTTTAGCTGAAGCTAAGTGGCTCGTTTGGTACGAGGGATAAGGGATAATTAATTTCGAGATTAAATTTGAGATGAGTTATGTCATGTTTAGTTGGGATAAAATTACGGTATAACTAATCTCGGGACTAGTTATTCCGAGATTGTAATATTTTTTTTGTCATTGTAAGAGGGTGGAACAACTAGTCCCGGAATAATTAATCCTTAATCCGCCTTGTTGTGACCTGCTACCATCAGACTTAACTAGCGATGAATTATTTAATAAGAAAAAATAAACTAAAGTGTTAGAGTTTATTTAAACAAGTCTTCAACCAACAGTTCCCTGGTTGCCAAACAAAAATTTGTAAATATAGTGCACCTTATCTACCTCTGATCTTATATTGCATGCAACTCATGCTTATGGAAAACTAATTAAAAATTGTTTAAGGATGTAGTTTTAGATCTTTTGCTGCATAATAAGCAGAGGCGAAGTCAGGATTTCACTTTTAATTTATAGATCGGATATTATTATCTTTTTAAGTTACTGGATTCTAAATTAATAATTTGTACATATTCAATAAAATTTTAAGACAAATACAGAGTTCGAACTAAATCTACTAGGTTCGGCCGAACCCGTTCCAAGCACGCCCCTCAATTGGTAAGTTAATTAACATTTGTTTAAGGATGTATTTTTAGATCTTCTTACTGATCGTTCTTCCTTTTCAAGGTGAAAAGGTAACATATTTTGGTTTAATAATGCATTGAAAAAATAGTCAAAAAATTTTAAAAAGATGTTTTTAGTAATTTTGAAGTGATCTTTTGTCGTGGGTAAAGACTTTGAAAAACATTGGCGGATTTAATGATAGAATTTGCGGGTTCAGTAGAATAGAATATTTTATAGTCAAATTTGATTTTTATGTGTGGAAATAGATATAAATAAAATTAAAATATACTTAGAACCCTATTTATTAAAAAACAAGAATGATCTTATTAACAAATGTCTCTACGATAGACAAAAGAATAGCACCCTTATTGACGCTCTAAATATTAATTTTTTTTCAATTATCATGGCTGAAGGAAGTTAACAAGAGTCAATTTCTTGAATATGGAAAATTGTTTTATATATTCAATTAAGTATCTTAATTAGATAACTTGATCAACATCATGGCCAACCAAACCAATGAAAACTAATTTAAAAAAATAAAACGTCTAGTCCAAAATCCACTTGAAGTTAAACCCTAGCATTGGCTTAATTAAGGCCTTAACCCTTATTGTAATGAAAAGGCAAAATCCAATAGATATTTTCATGCAAACAGCTGCTTTGAAAAAAAAAATTATAGCTATTTGTTGTGTTTAAAGGGCGATTTATTTGAAACTTTTATTAAATATAAGAATGCTTCTGGTATTTGATTTTTCTTAAAATGGCCAATAATTGATTAATTAAGGGATATTGTAGTTGGTTGTTTAGAGGTTACACCCACTTTCCTTAGCTAAACCAACGGCCCAAAGCCACTTTATCATTTTTGGAATTTTCTGGAATTATCCCAACCAACTTCCTATACTTCTAGAGTTTAACGTCTTAAATCTTTGCTGAATTTAAACATTAAGCTAATATATATATATATATATAGGAAATGTTTTATAGTTGAGTTCAACTTCTTCATTGATTGTTATTAAGTCACTAAAAAGATAATTATAGGCAATCGTTTTAAGGAGGTTTATATATACGCAGATTTTTCCTACATTGAGAAGGTATAGAAAGATTGTTTTCAATAGACCCTTGGCTCAAGGATAGATTAAAAAACAGTAGCAACAAGCAGTAAAATCAACAAGACACTAAGAAACCGATGTGAAAGAAACACCTGTTAGTAATAGAAATCTAAGAGTAAGAAAACACAAGACTAACACTAATACTACTAATATGAAGAAAAAAAATGTTTGACTATACCAACCCTCTACCATATTTCTCGACCTTCATATCCTCCTATCAAAGGTCATGTCATCGGTAAGCTAAAGTAGCGTCATGCTATGCATGTCCTGACTAATTATCTCCCCAATACTTTTTCGGCCTACCTCTACCTCTCCTCGGAACCACCAAAGCCAACAGGTTACATTGAATGTGCATATAAATTAAATCTTTTTAACTACGCTTAAACATTGCGCAAGCATTAATTTGGTGCAAGATCAAAAAGGTTTATCTTTGTTGAAAGTAAATGTCATAAGTTATCTGTAAGATTAAAGTCTTTGTAAAATAATTTAATTTAGTTAGGTAGACAATAATATCAACAACAATAACAATATGCTTTGTGTAATCTCATAAGCGGAGTCTGGGGAGGGTAATGCATATGGGATCTTATCCCTACCTTGTAAAGGTAGAGAGGATATTTCCAATAGACCGTCGGCTCAAAGAAAGCACAATCACAATAATTTTGTGAAAGAAATACGGTAATAGAAATGTCATGAAAAAATAGAACAGTAACAATAGCAAGATAAAAAAAAATAGCCAAAGCAACAAAGAAAAAACATGTAGCATCAGCAATGTAAAAATAAAAAAATACGAGAATACTATTACTATCACTGGTACAAAAAAGAAATACGCTCGTCTCCCTACTTTTGATAATATAATATATACAATTATATATATATGTGAATTAAATTTTAAATCATAAAGTTGTGCAGCACATATTATGCAGATTCTGTAAAAGGTGTAAGATGGGAAAATAATGGTTCATAATAGCTGATTTGACTAATTGCTTTATGTCAACAAATTCTTGATGGAAATTAGAAAAGGCAGCTTGAGGCTCTAGGCCATTGGTTTGAAGAAAATTCAATACCACATTATTAATGCCATCTTTTATTTTCTATCACAACTTATTGCAACTTTGAAAATATTTTACCCTAGCTAGCTACTAATATTTGATTTGAAAAATCTAAAGAATGAGTTGCCAACTTTTTTCTTGGATACCATGCCTCAAATAATACAAAAATAGTGATATATCCCCAAAACCTAACAACTATAGTAACTGTGAGAATTTATAATAGTGTTGTTTAGACCGGTTGAAAATAGGCTCGAAAGGTTGTGTACAAAATATGAAGTCATTTAATGAAGATTTGGACTGATTATGAATAAAAATTGTAACTGAAAATAATATCAGAAGTTTAATTTGTCACAATTAGCTACGATATTTTTACATTATTATATACTTTTATATAATATTAATACATATCTATACACTATTATATACTTTTATATATGATAGATACGTTGCTTATATAAGTATATAAAATACTATATAATATATATTGTAAAAAAAATTGTTTCGCAAGTGTAAATTAAAAACATGACTGTGGATGCAATGTGTTATGTTGGATTCTATATTTGCGAAAATTCTACAAATAATAAAAATGGCGAAATATATAAACGGCTCCTTCAAGTTGTCCTCAACGGTCAAACAAACACTTCAAGTGACCCATTTACCATTTTGACACTTCAAATGCCTATTAAGCGTATCAAGTAAATACCGGAGTCCAACAAACTATGTGAGTGAATTACACTTTCCAATGACGTGGCAAATAAACCAATTAAAAAATGACACGTATAATTTATAATAAAAACTTAACACATGTAATTTAAAAAAACAATTAAAGAAAAAGAACCCTCTGTGTCACCCATCCTCATCTTCTTCGTGTTTCAAAGAGAAAACATAAATTCCAGACACCATTGATTAATTATAGTACAATCTAAATTTCCAATTTCCCTGGAGGATAGCACGGTAAGAAGAAGGTTTAACATCCCTTTTTTCAATTTCCGGCGCAGTTTCCTATGAATTAAGGACCTTAAATTTTTCATTTTTTTGATAACCTATAAAGAGAAAAAATGAAGAACGACCGGGAAAACCAGACACAAACAAAACCGCAGAGTTTAGATGTGGTGCTTCGCCGGAATGTTGCTACCATGGCGAACACCAGAGCTACATCATCTTTTTCGCCGCAAAACAGAAACCTCATATTTTTCAATCAAATTCCAATAAAAAAATCGATAATCAGACGAATCACAACCAAGATAATCTGAAGTCAAACCCAAATACGGCCTCCTACCATGAACCCAGGTGCTTTCCGGCGAACCTAGATTGTGGGGACAACGAAAGGGCACAATTTGGGTTTCAGATCAATGCCCAAAAAATATTTTGATATTATAAAATTGATAATATACCGTGGGACCCACTCTAAAAGCAAGAAAGAAGAAGTCTGATGAAAAACTAGCGCGCTCAAATGTAACTAAAATACACGTAACTTGCCATGTCAGCGTGAAGTGTCTACGAGATGTATTTAATAGGCACTTGAAGTGTCAAATTGGTAAATGGGTCACTTAAAGTGTTTGTTTGACCGTTGAGGACAACTTCAAGGGACGATTTATGTATTTTGCCAATAAAAATATACGTATAATTGTCTCCGTATATTAGTTAAATTATTATTCACGTACAATTGTCACATTAAGACACTTTGGAAGGAAAATTTTATCAAGTACTTCTCCTCCATGAATTTAAATTAGTTCTAATATAATATACGTTGAGACTTCGAGTTCAACAGTATCATTTGAGGACAATACTTTTTCTATTACATTTAATTTTGTCTAATTTGTTGATGGTGCTAATCCAACTACCATTACCATAAACGTAAGATGTGACTGGAAACCATATTTTCATATCCTTATTTACCAAATCTAACAATTTAATTTTTGAACAAAACAAATATTCATATTATTAAAATAGTTATTAATATTCGTGTGCCAAGTGGGTCTATTACCCACCATAGGTTAAGGCATGAATGCTTACATGTACACAATGGGATAATGTTAAAAATAAATAAAGACAATTAAAGAAAATTATATATATGGGCACAAAATTGAATAAGTATATTATTACTAGCTAATAACATACAAGTCAAAAGATAAACCTAATTATATAATAACCTAATTAAACCGGCCGGCGGTTTAACCATTCTTCTCTATCCTATTGACATTTCCCTAAAGGAAACTATGTCCTCATATATACTATATCGTATACAACGATAATATACAATGTGATCTCACAAGTGGGTCCTCATATGTGATTCTTTTCACACATGTAACACAAAGTAGAGAAAATTTCTCATTTGAACCAGTGAAACTACTGTTCATTGTGTTCTCTTAGTTATTGAAACGTTCCCTTGAGACTGTATATTTTATGTATTTACAAATTTTCTTGAACTCTCTCCCTCAATGAGACGATGTAACGCATGGTTGTTTATATCACATGACTGAACAACCGTTAGGATTTTCGTCACTGAACATTTGAGGTGCGTTGTTCAAGTATGTTGGTGGTGGTGATGGCGGCACGTATGATGACGGGTGGTGGCCATACTCCATGACATAGCCCGTATGAGCATTATAACCATGATCATACATTGTTACACCATAGTCTTGGTTCATATAACTTTGATTGTACATAGGCATTGCATAATGTGTTTGTGGATTATAACCATAGTATTCCATTTTATTCACTTCGGCTTTTGTCTCTACACTTTTACTTCCTTCTGCTTTTGGTTCACCCTCTTTTTTCTCCTTCTTGTCTTCGCCACTACCTCCTTCTTTTTTCTCTCCCCCACCGCCACTGCCACTGCCTTCTTTTTCTTTCTTCTCTTCGCCACCGCCGCCGTCACCGCCGCTTTCTTTGCCTTTCTTTTCACCACCTCCATCATCTTTTTTTGGTGGAACAATTTCTACATTTCGTTTTAATTTATCTTTCAAATAAGGAATTAGCTCTTTTAAGTCCATTGTTCCCTTTACCGTAACCAAATCTTTTTCCGAATCTACTTTGACTTCTTCTACCCCTGTCAAGAAAAAAGTAAATAATTATAAAAAAAAAATGTCAATCACCATAAACAGCATGATTCTCATATTAAGGGAATAATTCCTACAACTTCTGTAATAATTATTTAAAAAATTCAGAAGGTGATTGCATGCCATACCTAATTTTTTATAAATAATTGAATTACTTTTATATTAATAATAAAACAATTAATTGACAATAAATTAATTCAACATAGTTGTTTATCTTACCATCAATTTTCTTTATAATTCGCTTTATTTTGTGCGCACACCCGTCACAATGCAACCGAATCTTCAACACCACTGTACTACCTTGTGGCTAAACATAAAAAAAAAAAAAAAAAGGAACAAAAAATAATCAGAAATAGTTTAACTAATAATACCAAATTGAATTAAACATTAAAATTATTAATTAATTAATAGCATCAGTTACTAACTCTTTAGTTTAAAAGGAAACTGGAAAAGCAGTACGTGGGAGAAAAGTGAAATTACCTCTTTAGGCTTCTTATCTTCAGGATTTTTCTCCTCAGCCTTTTTTTCCTCAGGCTTTTTCTCATCGGACTTTTTATCTCCGCCACTGCCGCCGCCGTCCTTCTTCGGCTGAGGAGAAACAAGCTCCACCTTCTTCTTTGTTTTGCTTTCTACTTTTTCTCTTAGCCATGTGGGGTCCACGTTCCCTTTCACCGTCAATTTCCCACTGCCACAATCTGCCTTTACGTCATTTACACCTTCATTTTCAACCAAAAAAAATCATTAATTCGAAGAGTTTAAGTTTTATGAACTGACAGTAAATTAACTTTTTACACAAGCAAAATTTAGCAATAAAAATATACTTATTTTTCATATCAAAGTTTAATATGATAAAGAAAAATAGAATGATAATGGTTTACGCTATTGCTGAGGGTCTTCGGAACAGCCTTTCTACCTCTACGACATAGGGATAAGTCTGTGTACAGATTGTCTTATGAGATTTCACTGAGCATATTGCTATAATAGTTTTACGTTATTGGTATACAAAAATTTGAATTGTGATTCTTAATTAATGATATAATATTTTCAAAGAGAAAAGATGAAAAATTTTGCTAGTAAAATTTGAACGTTAAATGCGGATCTACCAATGATAGTTCCTTGACAAAAACGAAAAGTACTATGTGCCGGCGAATACAAGGAACAAACTAAAATTTCACTAATATTTTAAACAAATTGAAAATTCAAACCATTATCAGTAAATGGTTTAATTTCCAAGTTCTAAACGAAAGAGATTAATTAGTGATGTAATGAATATTGTTTTGTATATCATTTTGTTAATAATTACCTTCAAAATGGCGAATTGAACGTTTGACTTTTTTGGCACAACCTTCACAATGCAAGTCAAGCTTTAATATTATTGCGGTAGGGCCGTCGTCCTTTTTTCCACCGGCGGCTTCACCGCCGGACTTTTTGTCGCCGCCGGCGTCATTCTTCTTTTCTCCTCCTTCTGCTTTAGTTTCTTCTTTTTTCTGAAACCCAAAAAAGAAAATAAAAAATCAAAACTTTGAGTATTATGAATGAAATTGGAATTAAACTGAGAATTTTTGTGAAAGAATTTAAAGGGTTTTTAAGATAGAGAAGTATGAATTTACCTCACCCATTATAAGAAGAGAATTTTAAGAGATATTGAAGTGTTAGAAATATTGAAGAGATAATAGAGAAGTAAGGAAAGGAATTAAAGGGAATGGTTTGAAGAGAAGAAATGGAGGCAAATGAGAGAATATATAGAAAAATATTGTGTTGGAGTCAATTGTAATTGATGAGATCAGCTTTTGCTACTGTTTCAAATTAATTCACATAATTTTTCTAAGGCACAAGGCACGCCATTTTTCTACTTTAAAATATTAGGAAGCCCCCACTTCTGGACTATTTATTTGTTTCTTTTTTATTTGGCTGTGG